CACACACACACACACACACACACACACACACCCCTCCAATATTTTATTGTATTCACTTTATGCAAGGGAGCAAGCGTAAACATTCATCAATCCCACCCACCCCCAGCAGAAGCACCAAATGTCTCATGACTTGCTAAACTTGTTTCGATCTTCTTTTTTGCATTCGTGTGACCACCATATCTCCTATCAGATAAGTTCGAAATATTAGGTGAAATAAGAAAACCTAACTGTAGGGTAGATTCTTTCACCTTCAATTCCTTTCAGCGACTCCTGTCCTAGATGCTAAACTTCAGGCAAGACAGGTTCCATTGTTTGTTTGTTTTTGTTTGTTTGTTGCTATTGTTTAAGATAAAACCTATTTGGGAAAGAAACTACCGTATTTTTTGCTCTATAAGACGCACCAGACCATAGTTTTGGAGGAGGAAAACAAGGAAAAAAATATTCTGAATCCCAGAAGCCAGGATCCCGCTTGCTGTCCTGGCTTATGGGATAGCCGCGCACAGCCTTTCCCAGGCAGGGGGAGCCTTCATCCCCTTGCCCGGGAGGGGCTGTGTGCGGCTCTTGGGGGCTTTTCCCTGAGAAGGGCAGCCCTTCTTCCTCCTCGGAGAAAAGCCCCCAAGAGCCGCACACATGCTCCTCGCGGCTCTTTAAAGGGAGCGCTGAGCAGAGCCTCCCGCCTGCATTCGCTCCATAAGACGCACACACATTTCCCCTTACTTTTTAGGAGGGGAAAAGTGTGTCTTATAGAGCAAAAAATACGGTACTTTTGCCATTTTTGTGGACGTTGGTTTATTTACAGATGGTTGCCTTGGTGATAGTATCTTGTCGATTGCAGTAGTCATTGTATCATCACCCTGTTTGTTGTTTTATTGTTAAAACTTCAGGCAAGACAGGTTCCATTGGGGGGGGTTTTCCCGTCCAAAGCAAATTTGTGCAAGGTGTTACAGCACCTATCTGTTTTCTTACCTGAAGTGAACAAACTGTAAATAGCAGCAGTAATACTTTACTACACCGACAAATGCAGCTGTTCAAGGTTTATGATACAGGCTGGCTGCCCATATCTGAAAAACGCTGTGTCATGCAATACGCCCTTCGTGAATGAGTCTAAGTTCATTAAAAACAGACTCCCAGGGCAGATAAAATCGGGACTCCGTCCTCTGGTCTCCACTTGGTAAAATATTGATTAGATGAGTTAAAACTAATTTAAAACTCGAGAGCTGCAGCGCAGCTCTCTGCTTCACAAACCATTCCTCATCATCTGTTTAATTACAATAAACTAGAATTATCTGGGAAGGCTACCCAAACTCCTGAAACCCCCACATATTTTGGCTTCAGTATGATCAGATATTTCTTGTTTCAGAAACCACGGATCCTGACGAACAGCTGGAAATACTTCACGAAGCCCTGAAACTGCTGCCCCCTGCTCACTGTGAAACCTTACGGTATCTCATGGCGCATTTAAAAAGGTATGGAAATGAATGGTCCTGTCCTTTTCTTAGTACCTCTTGGGTGTTTCTTGCCTCTGGGCTAACTGCTGCAGGCATTAAATCCTAAGGGTAGGACTTCAGTGATGGCAGGCATTAAGCAATAGGGAGTGGCAATTTTCAGCAGTTCTCCTCCTCCCTACAGTCACATGTGTCCCCCCCTCCCTCCAGTAGGAACTGGAGGGTCCCCCAAAACTTCTAAAGCTGATTTAGAGAAGGAAAGGAGCTGCAGCAGAAGGAAGAATTTCCGTAAAATTGCCTCCTTCCCAATTCTGTTGGTGGATGCTTTCTGGCAGTGGAAGAGACAGCATTGGAATGTCACTCTTTGTGCCCTATTCTCAACAAATTCTCAACAAGAAGTGTGAATTCCATATTTCCCCCTTCATGTAACTATCTACGAAACAATGCGAGTGTTTCCATGTCAAACGAGGCTGCTTGTGAATTCAGAGGAATGATCATAGATTGGTTTTGGAATTACTTAGCCCTTGTGAGGTCACACAGCACAGTCCCTCGTCCCCATTTATTTCCTCTGAAAATAGAGACCCAGTAAAATGACTCTTTGTTTTTGCTCCCCTCCACTGAAGAACAGGTGAGATTTGTCCCTTTGGATAGCTCAGTTGGTTAGAGCGTGGTGCTGGCGTTGCACCGACTGCATGCCACTGTTCAAAAATCTAAACTTCCCTGAGAGTGTAATCCTAATCCTCTCTGGTTTGGGTTTTTGTTTTTTTTTTAAATGATATTTATTCCAAGTTTAACATTACAAAAAAAAAGCAAAAAAAAGCAACAATACAAAATACAAAGAAAAATTTAACCATAACAAAGCGAAAAATAACAAAAAAATGTGAACAATAAAATAGAGTAAAAAAGAAGACGAAGCAAAAAATATAAAAATGCATTGAGTTAAAATAGAACAAAAACAGATTAAACCTAACCTTTTCCCTTTACTTATTTCCATGACCTCCTCTCACCTCCCAATTTTGTATTCTAGTTCAGATCGTATTTCCAGCAAATCCTTCTAACCTTATTTTCATTTACGTATTTTAATTTAAAATAATGTAGTTAAACATCCTCTGTTTCATCAGTTTCATCAACTCATTTTTACTTAATCCTTTATATCATATCTACCAAAACAACCTAATTTTCTTTTTCAACATCTTTCTAACAGTCTTTTATGTTACAATATTTTTGAAGATATATTTTGATTTTTTTCCAATCTTCTTCCATCGACCCTTCTCCCTGGTCTCGAATTCTGCCAGTCATCTCAGCCAGTTCCATATAGTCCATCACTTTCATCTGCCATTCTTCTCGGGTGGGTAATTCTTGTGTCTTCCAGTACTTTCCGATGAGTATTCTTGCTGCTGTTGTAGCATACATAAAAAAAGTTCTATCCTCCCTTCGCACCAATTGGCTGACCATGCCCAGAAGAAAGGCCTCTGGTTTCTTCAGGAAGGTATATTTAAATACCTTTTTCAATTCATTATATATCATTTCCCAGAAAGCCTTAATCCTTGGGCATGTCCACCAAAGGTGAAAAAATGTGCCCTCAGTCTCTTTACATTTCCAACATTTACTATCTGGCAAATGATAAATTTTTGCTAGCTTGACTGGGGTTAAGTACCACCTGTAAATCATTTTCGTTATATTTTCTCTTAAGGCATTACAAGCCGTAAACTGCATACCTGTGGTCCATAACTGTTCCCAGTCAGCAAACATAATGTTATGTCCAAAGTCTTGTGCCCATTTAATCATAACAGATTTAACCGTTTCATCTTGTGTATTCCCTTTCAACAGCAAGTTATACATTCTTGATAGATTCTTAGTTTTAGGGTCTAACAATTCTGTTTCCAATTTTGATTTTTCCTCCTGGAAGCCAATTTTCTTATCTAAATTATAAACCTCCCTTATTTGATAATAATGAAGCCAGTCTCGAACTCTAGTTTTTAATTTGTCAAAGCTCTGCAGCTTTAATCTATCTCCATCTTGTTCTAAAATTTCACAGTATTTTGGCCAATTTGTCTCCATATTGATTTTTTTCAGAGCCTTAGCCTCCATTGGTGACAGCCACCTTGGTGTTTTACTTTCCAACAGATCCTTGTATCTCACCCAGACATTAAACAATGCTTTCCTGACAATATGGTTCTTAAAGGCCTTATGCGCTTTAACCTTGTCATACCATAAGTATGCATGCCATCCAAAAACATTGTTAAAACCTTCTAAGTCCAAAATGTCCGTGTTTTCAAGAAGCAGCCAATCTTTCAGCCAGCAAAATGCGGCTGATTCATAATAAAGTTTAAGATCTGGCAGGGCAAATCCACCTCTTTCTTTAGCATCAGTTAAAATCTTAAATTTTATTCTAGGCTTCTTGCCCTGCCAGACAAATCTCGAAATATCTCTCTGCCATTTCTTGAAACAGTCCATCTTGTCCAAAATTTGCAATGTTTGAAACAAGAACAACATCCTAGGCAATACATTCATCTTTATCACGGCAATTCAGCCCAACAATGATAACTTCAATTTTGACCAAATTCCCAAGTCCTTTTTCACTTCCATCCAGCATTTTTCATAATTATCTTTAAATAAATTCACATTTTTAGCAGTCATATGAACCCCTAGATATTTTAAATAAATCTTTAAATAAAAATTTCGGTGACAGGCTTTCCTTTGCATAAAGTACTACTCCTCTTTTTTTAACGTTGTCTGAAGAGATAAATTCTTCTCCCAATCTTTTATTAGTCAAAATTTTCCGATGTAGCCTTGTCACATGCGTTTCTTGTAAACAAATCAAGTCCAAATGTTCTTTTTTTAATATATGAAATACTCTCCCCCTTTTTTCCCGAGAATTCAGTCCATTAACATTCCAACTTAATACTTGCAGTGTCATAATGTACTTACTCTCCTTCTCCCCCAACAGCCCCCAACAATTTGTCTATATCTGTCAGTGGCGTTGATTTCCCTTCTCTCTGGTTTGGGTTTTTGTTTTCCTTTGCAAAAACATTTTTTTCCACCAAAAAGAAATCTTATTTCCCCCTCTTTTGATCATATAGTTTTCTTTGGGAGGATAGCATTCTGGCCATCAAGACAATGCAAAGTAATATTCTGATTATCTCAGAGCAACCATGCCTTTAGTTAGTCCATGCAAACTTTGGATCTTCAGGTAGTTAATTTGTCTTTCCCGGTTACATGGACTATCGCATCATGCCCAACACTGTTTTTCTTGTCTACCACACTGAGCATGGCTTGGCCTACGGTTTCAAAGTAGAAATCTGGCTGAACCAACTCAGCTGTGCCAGTCTGTAATTGAAACATTAAAAAACGAGCAACCCCCTCCGCCACATCTTCGGCCCTGGCTGGCATGAACAGCAAAGTTTGGGATGTGGTAGTTGCTCTCCCAGTGTTCCCAGCCCAGGGTTTAGGATTGCTGTACCCAGCCAATAAAATTCCAGTAATGATAGTGTGCCCTAGATTCAGGTAGCACCTTAGAGACCAGCTAAGTTTGTTCTTGGTATAAGCTTCCGTGTGCATGCACACTTCTTCAGATACACTGAAACAGAAGTCACCAGAAGTCATATAAGGGTCTGGTGACTTCAGTTTCAGTGTATCGGAAGAAGTGTGCATGCACTTATACCAAGAACAAACTTAGTTGGTCTCTAAGGTGCTACTGGACAATTGTTTCATTTTTTTATATATTTCGATAGTGTGCCCTGTTCTTTGAACAACCATTTTTAGTTCTTGGCACAAGCTTTGGTTTTTTAATTTGGAAAAATTAACATCTTTGCTATGGATAAGGAAAGCCGCAATCCAGACTACGTGAAGCACATTTAAGGCCTGCTCTCCTCTCTTAACAAAAAAAAAAGGGGGGGTCACTTTCCCTCTATCACACCCAAAACGATTTTTCATTCCCTTTTATTAACAGCACCATTTTCTTTGAGAAGCTCAGCGAGATATTAATGGGATCCGTTGACAAATGTGCACTTGCCACTTCAGATGATTTGTAGTGGTTTATTCTTTAAAAAGTATTCTCTAAATATATACTCCACTCGTGCAAGTATAATTTTGCAATCAAAATCCTCTTTAAAAGTCAAACGTACAAAAATGCAAATGCAAACAGCAAAAGAGGCGAGAAAGGAGGAAGAGAGTAGTTTCTGATAGACTTCCAAAAAACTTGTTATTTAGTGTGAAGGCCAGCCAGCTCTTTTCTATAGCAATAGCCAAGAAATTTCCACAGATGCAAGAATAACTCAGCCATACCCATTTCACATAGGTACATAAGCAGCATATAACTTTTTATAGGCATGCTCACGAAGACGTGTTGCGATGAGGGAACAGCTAATGAAGTCTTGTTATCAAATTCAGTTGGTCAGCCTGCTTGGCTATATTTGGACTCGCTGTAAATAGAAACTGCAGAGGTTGGCCAGCTTCAGAACAATATGCCAAACAGTTATCAGCTCCTAGTTATCATGATAGGTGTCTGAAATTTATTTTACTCTATAATATAGAATGAACAGGGTGGAGAGGGGGCTGCTGATGTTTTATTTATAATTCACAGACATCTCAACAGTGGGTATTTAGTTATATATGTGTGCCCTTGATGGGGATTTTGAGTTGTAATCCTGTGATATGAATTTAATCTGTTCACCAGCTAATTTACAAATATTAATTTGTTCTGAGAGGCAATTAACTGCCATAAAGCGTATTGTAGCCTCTCAAGACAGCTGCTTCCATGCTGCGCCATTCAAACGGAGTCCAAAGAGAGGGAGACAATCACTTTTCCTCTCATTGATTGTGTATCGTAGATGTTTATTCAATGCATTTAGATGGTTTGCTTTGTGTGCTTTATATTTATTCCATTTTACTGTTTATAACATGAAAAGTGGTGTGTGTGTGGTTCCATAGAAGTACGTGGCCTCTTTCAATTCTAGACTTTCATCCTTCCTCTAAGGCAGCGGTTCTCAACCTGTGGGTTCCCAGATGTTGTTGGACTACAACTGCCACCATCCCTGAGCTCTGGCCTTGCTAGCTAGGGGTGATGGGAGTTGTAGTTCAACAACATCTGGGGACCCACAGGTTCAGAAAGGCTGCTCTAAGGAGGCCCTAAGGGGATATCCGTCTCACAGTAGTCCTTTAGGGCAGTAGTTTCCAACATGCTCAAAATTTGCCAAGCACCAGGAGCATTTTGCACCTGGCCATCGGCCACTTGCGACTAAGTGAAGATGCCCAGATACAGTGGTACCTCGGGTTACATACGCTTCAGGTTACAGACTCTGCTAACCCAGAAATAGTACCTTGGGTTAAGAACTTTGCTTCAGGATGAGAACAGAAATCACACGGTGGCAGCAGGAGGCCCCATTAGCTAAAGTGGTGCTTCAGGTTAAGAACAGTTTCAGGTTAAGAACAGACCTCTGGAACGAATTAAGTATGTAACCAGAGATGGTTGGTGTACCAGAATGGTGCCGGACATCTCCACCATCTGGAGTTGCCTGCCTGGGGATCCTTGGGTCTTACCTGTTTTCACATACTAGCAACACATCCTGTAGAATTCTATCCATTATATTTTATCTGCACAATCAAAATGAATTTCAGGAACCAAAAAGTCCTATTAAAAAACAAAACTTTCCTGCCGTATGGCCCCCAAATGGCAAAGAGGCATTCTGTTTTTGGTAACTGTAACCCTGGGTTTAAGGAGCCATTTGGTGCCTGGGTCAGATATCTGGTTTTCTAACCCTGTTTATAATCACAAGGACCCCCTTTTAACATCAGATTTCACGTGCTGTAATTGTTGTAAGGTCAGATCTTAAGAGTACAGAATTATCAACACAATCAGGGTGCCTACAGGGTTTTCTGGGCCCCATACAGTGGTGCCTCGCAAGACGAAAAGAATCCGTTCTGGGAGTCTCTTCGTCTAGCGGTTTTTTCGTCTTGCGAAGCAAGCCCATTGATGGGATTAGCGGATTAGCGCTATTAGCGGCTTTTAGCGGCTTTAGCGGCTTTAGCAGCTTATCAGCTTATCGGATAAGCAGATAAGCGGCTTAGGGACTTAGAAAAGAGGGGAAAAGGAAAAAAAACCCAGGAACTCGCAAGACATTTTCGTCTTGCGAAGCAAGCCCATAGCAGATTCGTTTTGCGAGGCACCTCCAAAACGGAAAACTCTTTCGTCTAGCGAGTTTTCCGTCTTGCGAGGCATTCGTCTTGCGGGGCACCACTGTATGTGAATTGAACCCCCTGCTGCACTAACAAAAGAAACTAGTTTTCATGAGAAGAGTTTGTTGGAGAATGATAACTCCTTTGCAAAACTGTAATTCTCAGGGTTCCTGTAGTTGGGACTCAAGTGTCCTACCAAGTCTTGCCAACTGGATTTCTGTAAAGCAGTGATCATAAGGCAGACTGTCTGGAAACGGGGTAGAGAGGGGAGAATCAGGCGCGGAGGAAGGGGGTGTGGTGGGGGCGGGCCGCCCCGGGTGTCACCACTGAGGGGGTGACAAAATGGCGGGCGGCACTCACCACGGGGCCTGCAGCGCGCCCAAGCCACACGTCTCCTCTGGGAGTGACACGGTGGCTTAGGCGCACACAGGCTCCCCGCTGCCCCAAACAGTTCGCCCTCAGCTGTAGGGCAGCTGAGTGGGAAGAGGTAGGCAGACTCTGCGGAGGTCCCGTGGAGCATCCTGCCCCTGTTTGCCCCGCCCTCACAGGCAGCTGGCCCTGCCCCTGGGCACAGGGCACATGCACTGCCCCAGGCACCCAATCAGCTTGCTCTGCCGCTGGGGAGAATATCTGCCATGACGACATACAGCTGCCAATAGGGCAAAATACATTATGACCGTTGAAACATTTAATTAGTAGCGTCAATGTGGTTTGTGTTTCTGGTTCCATGTTTGTGAGATCAATCTGGCAGCTACCAATAATGTCTTCCCGGTGCTTTGTGTTTTAACTGTAGCCCTCCTTGTTTCAGGGTGACGCTCCACGAAAAGGAGAATCTGATGAACGCAGAGAACCTGGGCATTGTTTTTGGACCAACATTGATGCGAGCGCCGGAACTTGATGCGATGGCTGCCCTGAACGATATCCGTTACCAGAGACTTGTGGTGGAGATGCTTATAAAAAACGAAGATATTTTATTTTGAACTTGTTTGTGGGTGTGGGTGTGCATGTATGTTTTTAAATGAACTGCAAAAAAGAAAAAGAAAAAAGAGAATCCGGAGATGATGAAGGAATATTTTGAAGTGGAGCCTGCAGCGGAATTCTGATTGTGAGGTTTTTGAAGTATGAAAGATGCTTGTTTATCGTTGCTTGTGTGGTATCATTCAGACAATGTTGGGAACATATATTGTACTTTCCAGGACTAAATAGGTCTGGGGGGTTTCATCATAGTACAGGAAATTCAAACTGAAATAGGTCTCCTCCTTGTTTTACCCTCTCTTGTGAGGCTTCTGCTGCAAAGGACACAACAGGAACAGCACAGCTTCTGTGTTCTGGAATAGTCTGTGATTGTACTTTAGCATGTTTCTCAGTGTAAATCTGTTGTGGGTTTCTTACTACGTTCCGTAATTGGTTTCTGATATTTCAGTTGCGGAGGGGAGCAGATTGCAGTGAACCAAGACCTCTAGCTCTTCATTGACATCACCCCTCATTCTTAGCCTACTTTGAAAGATACCGTATTTACTCAAATCTAATGCGTGCCTTTTTTGGCCAAATTATGTTGCGAAATTTAAGGTGCTCATTAGATTCGATAGCACATTTACATTCGCCAGCAAATCCTTCCCCCACCCCCAAGGTTCTGAAAAATTGAGGCGTGCATTAGATTCGATGGTTCATTCGACTCGAGTAAATACGGTAATTTCTAGCTGGGTTCTATAGCATTTGTTTTAACAATGGCGTGCATTTTTCTTTTACGTTGTGGCTGCCACTTTTAAGTCATGCCTTTTTTTGTAAAGATCCAGTTAAAGGTGGCAAACTGAACGAATGAAGACTGGTTTGTTGTTGTTTTAAATGGTAATTTTGTATTTTTATCGGGCATGCGTATTAATTTATTAAAGTTTTGCGTTGGAACCTTACCAAGTCTGGCTGCATTTTTGCCCCAGTATCACAGACATGCAGCCCATTCCCCCACCCCAAACAAAAACACACTTATTTGACAAGTCCTATTTGACTTCTCAGTTTAGCCTATTCCCAAATGCAGTGGTACCTCTACTTGCGAACGTGATCTGTTTCAGGGTGCCGTTCACACCCCGGAAAGTCCAAAAGTAAAGCGCCACTGCGAAGCGGGATAGAGCGCTTCTGCACATGCGCAAAGCGAACCCAGAAGTAAACACATGTGCGCACGGCGAACCCAGAAGTAAACACTTTTGGGTTTGCCGCGTTCGTAACCTGAAAAGCCGCAACGTGAAGCAAACGTAACACGAGGTATGACTAATAAATGCACAAGACTGTTTACGAGATAACAGGGTTGTAAAGTTCCAGAGTTAAGGTTTAGCCTATTGAAATCTTGAACTTAAACATGCCTAACTCAACACAAGATCAGGCTGTTAGTGGATTGGGGAACCATTTTCAGGCTGAGGCTTCACTCCCTTTTGCCAGTGGCTGGTGCAGCCGGAAGTGAAAGTGGGCAGAGAAATGAAAGCAAATTTCACCTCCCCATAGTAGGCTGGTTTCTGCACACATATCCCTCTCTATCCTCCCTCCAGGTGAGCAAGAGTTCAAAGGACGTATTCAAGGCAAGCAAAAAAACTTGATGGTGTGACGCACACAGCCAGTGTGGACTGTGGCCTTGGGGCTAAAACAGTTTTCTTGTGGCATAAAGAATAAACGTAATAAATTATCAGGAGTGCTTTTAACCACCAATTCCTAGTTCATTTTTCTAATTAAATGTACAGCTGATGATATGCCAGCCAGCCTACTTATGCAAACCAGCAATCCAAACTTAATGAATGCAAATCATAGCTTAAATTGTTGGATAATGACTTCCCCACACACTCTACCCTTCAGACCAGGGAGAAATGACCTAAAGTTACAAATTATTTATTTGGGTATGTGTGGTTTAGCAAATCATGCAAATAAGTTGTTCTCAGTATTCCTTCATGTCCCTTAATATAGCTGTCCTATCTTACATACAGTTTCATATATAATATTCTCTAGAAACTGGTGAGCTTTGACAAATTGTGCAGGCAGTTGTGCAGATCTTTTGATGGCCTATTTCAAAGAAAGGTACAGTGGTACCTCGGGTTACATACACTTCAGTTTACATACGCTTCAGGTTACAGACTCCGCTAACCCAGAAATAGTGCTTCAGGTTAAGAACCTTGCTTCAGGATGAGAACAGAAATTGTGCTCTGGCGGCACGGCAGCAGCAGGAGGCCCCATTAGCTAAAGTGGTGCTTCAGGTTAAGAACAGTTTCAGGTTAAGTATGGACCTCCGGAACGAATTAAGTACTTAACCTGAGGTACCACTGTACTAGAGAGTCTCATTCTTCCCCTCCCCCCTTACACATAGAACCATAATATTGTGAATCTTGCTAGTCAAAACTTAATAAACACCAATATGCAACGCTCTGACTTCCAGGCCTTGTCTGTGTTCTTTATATGCCATCTGGTCCATATGAACAAAAGATCCTACTTACTGTCAGAGGTCGGGGGGCCTCCCAGACTCCTCCCACCACAAAGAAGATGATGAAGAAGAGCTGAACAAGGCTGGGTTGGGAGCCGTCTTTCCACTGTTTTAGGCCTTGGCAAAGAGAAAGAAGCAAACAAGGTGTGGGATCTGATGGTATTTTTGCCATGGAACAAGTAATGAGCAGGAAGAGAATAAAGGTTGAATTCTTCTTTTCCATTCACCAGGTCTTGAGGACAAGTCTGTGTTTACAGCATGGCTATATGTGCAGAGCTGTCCCTGCCAGCTAAGTGAATGAGGAACCTACTGCCCACACAAAAGTGCCAGTGGTTCCTCTTTGACTTAAAAAATTGTAGATCACAGAATTGTTGAGGTGGAAGGGGTCTCAAGGCTCATCTCATCCAACCCCCTGCAATGCAAGAAACTCAACTAGAACATACATGACTGATGGCCATCCAATCGCTGCTGAGAAACCTCCAAGGAAGGAGAGTCCACCACCTCCCAGGGGGTCATTTCCACCATCAAATAGCTCTGAGTGTCAGAAAGTTCTTCCTGATGTTTAGTCAGAATCTCCTTTCTTGTAACTTGGGATACACTGGTTTGGGTCCTGCCTACAGAGCAGGAGAAAGCAAACTTGCTCCATGTGACAGCCCTTGAAATATATTTTAAGATGGCTACCATATCTCCTTTCCAGGCTAAACATATCCAGCTCCTTCAACCATTCCTCATAAGGCTTGATTTCCAGACCCTTGATTATCTTGATTGCCCTGCACACGTTCCATCTTATCAATATCCCTTGTGGCAACCACAACTGGACACAGTATTCCAGGTGTTGTCTGACCAAGCCAGAGTAGAGTGGGACTGTGACTTCCTTTGATTGGGATACAACTTTTGTTGATGCAGCCTAGAATAGCATTACCTTTTTGCCTGCTGCATCACACTGTTGACATGTTACACTTGTGGTCTTCTAAGACCCATAGATGCTTTTTCACATGTACTACTGGCAATCCAGGTGTCCCCCTCACCTTATGTGTGTGCAGGTTGTTCTTCCTGCCTAAGTGTACAACCTTACATTTGTCCCTACTGAAGAAAGGGACTCCTCTGCACACAAAGCATCCCTGGCTTAATAGATACAAGAGCCTTTCTTTGGCTGGGTAAATTGATAACAGTTGATGTGCCCACATTGTTCTGTAGCCACACTAGAATCCTACAGCTTTCATAGACTTAAGTTGTAAAGCCTTCTTTATTTGTAAAATCAGATATGCCATGCAGTTCATATTTATCTGCATTATTGAGACAAAAACTGGAATCCTCAATTTCTGCTTGGCCTTCTTTCTTTTTAAGGGAGGGTTACCCTTCCTTCAGGATTAAGAAAAAAATACAAATATGGCTTTGGTATGTCACTGCAGTTCTAGAAGGTTAGTTTCTCAGATGCTCTGACTCAAGTCACAGACTATTAACAGGCCACGCAATTTCCTTGTCCATCCCCTCAACTCCAGGCCAGAGAATTAGCAGCAGAGACGCAGCTGGTTCAGTCCAAAATATAAACTATAGCAGGATTGCTGGAAGAAGATTGACATTTTCTTGCGTGTGGTTCTCCCACTTCTGTTTAGCACTAAATCACCATCAGGAACGGCCCAACAAATATCTGTGGTCCTGCCAAGGCGTGACCTTGTGATTTTTCCACTACCTTTCTTTAGAAGACAGAAACAGATTCCTTGCTGAGGAAAACCTAAGATGAACCTTGCTAAGTCTTGCAAATACCTTTAACCTGGGTTACTGCAAAACTTATGGAATATATATATATATATATATATATATATATATATACACACGCGGGTGGCACTGTGGGTTAAACCACAGAGCTTAGGACTTGCCGATCAGAAGGTCGGCGGTTCAAATCCCCGTGACGGGGGTTCGAATCCCCGCAACGGGGTGAGCTGCCGTTGCTCGGTCCCTGCTCCTGCCAACCTAGCAGTTCGAAAGCACGTCAAAGTGCAAGTAGATAAATAGGTACTGCTCCGGTGGGAAGGTAAACGGCGTTTCCGTGCACTGCTCTGGTTCACCAGAAGCGGCTTAGTCATGCTCGCCACATGACCCGGAAGCCAGTAAAGCAAGATGAGAGCCGCAACCCCAGAGTCAGTCACGACTGGCCCTAATGGTCAGGGGTCCCTTTACACACACATAGATAGATAGATAGATAGATAGATAGATAGAGAGAGATAGAGATATATGTATATACGTATATGTATATATATGTATTTTATACATATATATATATATATATATAGAATTTGAAAATACTACAACTGCACTAGATCAGACAAGCACATCCCCCTGATTTTACTTCTGAATTGTTGATTTCGGCATTCCAGAAGGTAAATAGTGCATTATAAATGAGGCCCAATTAGGATAATTGGATTCCTTCTTTCTAGCTATGCTCTCCCAATTAGAAATTAGAAACTATCGGCGGAAGAACCTCGTGTTTTAACAGATTGTTGCTTTCAGTTGGGACTGCCTTGTTCACTTTTAAGAGCAGCTGTCAGAATTAATGATTATTCCTCAACAACGCTGGCAGCTGTTCAGAGATCCTTATCCAAAGTGTGTGCTATCTTGTTCTAGCCATAACTCCAACTAGCAATCAAACCAGGCTTTTCTTTCTTTCTTTTTGGTTCAGAGGTGGCAGTTCCCCTCCCTCGGGGACTTTCGTTTTTGTTTTATAGCAGGAGGTGAGTCCTGTATATAAATGGAACAAACTTTATGGTTCAATATTTAGTCCACTTCCACACTGAGCTCAGAACCACCCACAGGAGCCATGGGCCGCCTTGTCAATCAAGCTTTAGAGAGAGCCACCCACAGTCACGGGGAACTTTTGAACCCTTCAGCACTGAGAGCCGAGCTCGCTGGCAAACAGTTCTGTGGGGAGAGGCAGGAGTGGGAGCTGGGCTGCATTATTCTCACTTCCGTGCGCTGGGCCCTTGCACACCTCCCCCTCTTTCACAATTAGCTAATGAGTAGGTAAGAGTCCACTCTGCCAAGCTCTACAATCCCTATGCATTTCTATAACAAGCAAAGCACTCAGCTAAACACCGCCCTCCCTCTCCCCCCCCATTACCCCCCCAGTACAACAAATCATGACTATAAATGAGGGACGTCAAGCATGATAAAATCCGTCTGAGTTACTGTTCAGGGCGATGTAATTGTAGATTAATGCACTGCAAACTCCTAATAATTAGAGAGCTATGTGGCATTTTCTCACGCTACGCAGAACTGGTCAAATGTTGCTCAGAAAAGCTTGCTCTCAAAATCATGGTGAAATGGACGGTGGGTTTTCTTTTCGCGATCTGTCTGCCTATTCAGAATGCTTTACTTTTTCAAACAAAGGTTTGCTAAGACGGCTTCATTCCCTGTTTATTGTTCGAAGCATTTTGAAATATATCCATTTCACGTTGGCTTATTTCGGACAGCGGTTGAAGCCAATTTGGAAATGGCATCTGATTCTCAAATATTCAGGTTTTGTCTTGGGGTTATTCGCAACAGAGATGGAGTAAAGGAGCTCGTCTGGGCAGGGAAGTGTTTTTTTAAAAACAGAGTTTGGTCCCTAATGATTCTGGAGAAAGTCATGTTATGGCTGTTAGGGGCAGGGGGTGTTGCTGGGACATGAGCCTGGAATTGTGTACAACTGCCCCATGGGACATGCAGATCAGTAGCTTAATACATGGGGCAGGTGCACACAACCCACCTATCTCCAGGCTCCTAACTCAACAGACCACCCAAAACCTGTTCCCCATCCACATTATACATTTAAAGCAGTGTCCTATCACTTTAAACTGTTGTGGGTTCCCCCAAAGAATCCTGGGAACTGTAATCTGTGAAAGGGGAATTGTAGCTTTGGGAGGGGTCTCTTAACAGCTCTCAGCATCCTTGACAAACCACAGTTCCCAGGATTCTTTGGGGGAAGGAAAGATCCGTAACTGCTAAGGTGGCATAAGAGTGCTTTAAATGGGTTGGCCATAATGGCTGAGAAAACAGTAGTTTGTCTGAAGGAGGAATCACTCTGCCCTTGAGATTCTTATGAGGTCCGGATCATGAAAGAAATGGGGAACTTGTTTTCTACCCTAGTTTCCACCCCAGTACGTTTACGAGCACAATTCAAAGTGTTGGTGCTGACCTTTAAAGCCCTAAACGGCCTCAGCCCAGTATCCCTGAAGGAGCGTCTCCACCCCCATCGTTCAGCCTGGACACTGAGATCCAGCACCAAGGGCCTTCTAGCAGTTCCCTCACTGCGATATGTGAGGTTGCAGGAAACCAGGCAGAGGGTCTTCTTGGTAGTGGCACCCTGTGGAACGCCCTCCCATCAGATGTCAAGGATGTCAACAACTATCTGACTTTTAGAAGACATCTGAAGGCAGCCCTGTTTAGGGAAGTTTTTGATGTTTTATCATGTTTTTAATATTCTGTTGGGAGCTGCCCAGAGTGGCTGGGGAAACCCAGCCAGATGGGTGGGGTTTAAATAATAAATTATAATTATAAGTGGTGGTGTTTAGCCATTATCGTTCATGTGCAGGGAGGAGGCCCCTTTGAACATGTGGCCTATCATTGGCATGGTTTAAAAATAAACTTTTTAAAATAAGGTCCCTAGTTAATGTGGCTCCTTTTCAGTTGATCTTTTTAACAAGTAATCTAATCCATGAATCAACTGCAGCCCAAGCAGTTAGGATGCTGGTCACATGACCAGCATCCACACACAATATCCTGGGGCTGCTGTCACCACCAGTTACACCCTCTGAAGTGCCCAGTCTTGGAGCTGGTTCTCTATGATCAATTTCCAGCATAGAAGGGATGAGGGGGGTAGTACCTGTAGCCCTCCAGATACTGCCAGATTCCAACACCCGCCAACCTAAGCCATGAGAGATGGTGGGAGTTGTAGTCCAACAACATCTGTGGGGGCCAAAGTATAGAAACGGCTCATTCGAAAGGGTATTCAGTAGATTTTCCTTTCCGAAAAGATGTTTAGCTGCTGTTAGCCATGATAGTTAAGAACTTCCATAATTAAAGGTGGCATAACTCACATTAGTAGATAGTGGGAATAAAAGAGTAGGGTAGAGTAGTACTGGAGTAGTATGGAAGTGAGAGCTGGACCATAAAGAAGGCTGATCACCGAAGAATTGATGCTTTTGAATTATGGTGCTAGAAGAGACTCTTGAGAGTCCCATGGACTGCAAGAAGATCAAACCTATCCATTCTGAAGGAAATCAGCCCTGAGTGCTCACTGGAAGGACAGATCCAATACCTTGGCCACCTCATGAGAAGAGAAGACTCCCTGGAAAAGACCCTGATGTTGGGAAAGATGGAGGGCACAAGGAGAAGGGGACGGCAGAGGACGAGATGGTTGGATAGTGTTCTTGAAGCTACCAGCATGAGTTTGACCAAACTGTGGGAGGCAGTGGAAGACAGAAGTGCCTGGTGTGCTCTGGTCCATGGGGTCACGAAGAGTCAGACACGACTAAATGACCAAACAACAACAAAGAGTAGTACTTGTTTGTGAGCTTCCAGAGGATACCTGTTTGAGTTGCCACTAGTCAAAGATGCTAAACCATATGGACCTTGAGTAGTCATATCTGTCTGTGTCTATGATGGAGGGAAAGAAATTAGGCTTTTTTGGTTCATTAAGCTGGGAAGGACACAGTGAAGAAAGGAATCTCCTAAACAGCTTAATTCCTGAGCTAGCTTACACATGGTGCTGAAAAACACTCTGAATGTCTTTTTGAAAGCAAAAGAGCAAAATCTCTAGATATAACTGTAAGAAGGAAAAGCCTTTGGTGCACTGAGCATTTGTGCTATCACAACTTTCCTGTTGTTGTTTTAGGGGGGAACTAATCACTGCTAGAAAGCTTATGTAACAGAAGCTCTCAAAAGCAACCCATTTGGCCAACTCCACCTTAGCAACAGGGTTGGAGCAAATTGCAGAGAAAGAAACTGATTGCTCTGCTTCTACCCTTGAACTTAGCCAAAAAGGCCGGTGATTGTTCTGCTTCTGATGATGAATGTTGTATTGACTGGGGGAGAAAATGTACTAGCTCCAAACCTATGGAAATATAATAGGTATAAGCTGGCCTCGGGGTCTGAATCTGACACAAAGTCTAGTTTCTTTAGAATGTGCCTCATTTTCTTCCATGGATTGGAACAAATGGTCTTCAACCTGGGTTGCTAGTTGCTATACACACACACACATGACAATGGAATGTGTAACTTAGACAAAAAGAATCCTGACTGTGAGCCATGGGGACTTGCGCTCGGCAAAAATAGACCCTGTTCCCATTTCCAAAGAGTTCTGCCGGCTTCCAGCTGCCATCCCCATAAGCAGGTGCCGTGAAACAATAACTCCGTGGTCACATTTCCTAAACGCCCTAGTTGGAAGCGGCGAAGCTTTGCTCAGTGACAGATCTTGAACTCTCTGGAAGAGGGAAAGGGATGGACGTCTGCGGTCTGCCAATCTTCCTGCTCCTTGGACCAGGTAAATCATTTCAACCAGCAGTATAATTTTGGTGTGGCTTCTGCCTCGTTGCAATGAGTGTGTGTGTGTGTGTGTGTGTGTGTGTGTGTGTGTGTTATAGATGGAGAGAGCATGTGTTTACAAAGGTAAGATTCTTCCTATAGCTTTATGATGAGCTTTAGCTGAACGCAGTTTTAGATATATATGTTGGAGATCTTTTCCCCAACCCCAAACTGCAACCAGAAAAGAATGAAATATGAGGGGTAAAACTAACAATAAGCTTCAGTGGGGGAAAAAACAACAACAAAAAAACACTAAATAATAAATAACAAAAAGAAGAATAAATATGATGTTTTTCAAATGTATGTGGGGACATGAAATAAATACGGTAAAGCTTAAAGTATAATATAATATGGTGAATGTTTTTCCTCTATATGTACAGAAGTTTGATATGGAAGCAGAACTGATTGACAGCTCCATGTGTTGCCAAAAGACTGTTAATGGGTCTTAAACGTACCCTCTGAAATGTTAGACCTTTCCGGTCTGCAGAAGAAATAGGAGATGGTTTGTTTTCTAAGATACAGACATCCGCATTCTTTAAGAGCAGCATTTGCAGTCATAAATAGGATCCTCCATGTCCCTTTTTAAACAGCACGAACAACTTATGAATGGTGAAACTCGTCGGGATTCTAGTTCATTCAAAAAAAGATGTAGACGTTCCACCAAAGGTCTTGTGGTAAACTGCAGCTTCTGCCCAATGCACACTTAACTGTGAGTAATCCTCACTAAATTTGATGGGATTTGTCATGGAGTAAACATGCATAAGATTGGGCTGTGTCTTTGTACGACCATAGCACTATCTCCTTCTAATCATCGACTTTCCACAACATTTGTAAAGCAAACCAAACAAAAAAGCAAAACAGTGGTTTAAGAAGTTGGATTTACTTCTTTAAGCCTTCTTAAACCAAATACCACAGACACAACCTTCCTCTGACCATTATTCCCCTTCTTTCCTCCCAGTGTATCCTCTTGCTCCTCCACATCACTGCAAATGGCCCCTTTAACTCCAGCCCCACAACCTGTCCCCTCTTCAAGTCCTCTTCCTCTTCAACTTTCTCCCTCCAACATCACTAGCAGCCTAAAACTGTCACACACACCTCCTTCCCTCTTATTTCTTCAAATGCCCCCTTTACCCCCAGCTTCACTTGTCCCTCCCCAATTTCTTCTCTTTCCCTCTGGCCTGCCACCAGAGGACTACACCTGCCCTTGCTCACTTCTGCACCCCCCTCCCATTAGCACACTGTTTTCACAGAGCAACCTGCCTTTGGAACCTTGGAAAACAGACAATAAAAACAGAGCGACGACACCTTACAATTTTATTATATAGTCAGATAAGATGTGAATTGGGCATAGGTGGAGGAGGAAGCTTAAAAACTCTAACACTGAACATCTATTTCTCCAGAGAGTGGCATCTCTACGTCCCCAGATAGAAAGCCTCAAAATTCAGCTCACCCCTCCTTCTGCAGTTTTCTCAGTCTCCCTACTTCAAAACTATCTCAGAATGCAGGTTTACTTTATGGCAAAAGGTACGTTCCCATTTAGCACACAACAGTACAGAAGTTTCCAGCTTTTTCCTAGCTATTCACAATGCATCTATTAGTCATTTAGCCAGCAATTTCGGTCACAAAAGAAGGTAAACCCAGGCTTTGCCAGCAGATTTGCCCAACTTTTATCAGACTTTCTGGACCCATTAATGCTTTTCTGTCCGAACTCCAGACTCTTTTACAGGAATAGGATGAAATAATAGTAATTTTGCAACACCAAATTAACAAGTCTTGCTCTATATTGTCCTGCAGTTGTTCTGGTCCTGGGTTCTGATCATGAAACTCGTCTGGTTGCCCATTTATTCGAGCATTATAACAAAGTTATTCGTCCAGTAAGCAACCACCTTGAAAGAGTTAACGTTACCGTTGGACTACAGCTTATCCAGTTGATCAATGTGGTATAGTACAAATTTCAATTATTCCATTATTATTGTTAGTTGTAGTAGTAATAAGCAGCAGTTTTAATTATTTGAAGGGTGTAATGTTTAATTGATTAGTTGGTTATAAACAGTTTAACCAACTAAAATGGTGCACCCCTTTAACTAGGCAGCAGATTGTGTGTATGTGTGTTTTTATGTAGGGTTGGATCTGGGCTAAATCAGTTGAACTTAGTCCCCTTTGATATCAATGTGATTTAAATAATACCTAGCCTGTTCCATTGATTTCAATGAGAATTAAGTTCAAGTAACTTTGATTTTGTCCAACAAAGTTGTCCGAAAGTTATCAAGTGGAAATGTGTGCAGGTCTAACCGACAGACAACTTGGCTAACCATTGAAAGCTTTCCATGATGTCTACTCAACATTGTCCTCATCAAAATATAACCCCCCAACAAGCTACAAGAATTTGCTGAAATGGCACAGTTAACAAATACCCTGAGAGGCAATTCAAAACAAAAAATTATGGAAAAGTGGGATAGTTATAAAACATATGTTCAAAAATACAGTAAAGGTTCGCTATCTACGCTAGCATTTGTTTGACGTTGGAGTGAGACCGAGTTGAGAAATAAGACTAAGAGCACATATTGACATAGGAATGTATTAGATAATATGTAAAGAAATATACAATAATAAGAGTACATTCATTTGTAAAAAAAGGAATATACAGCGGAAAAGACAGGAAGTCTAGTGTGTTGGTATGTATATGATTTTTTGGGGAAATTGTTTTTGTTTTTTCTCTTTGTTCTTTCTTTTTTTTGTTCTAGGTATATAAAATTTGTATATAATTTTTGTATACATGTTGGAAATTATATTATAGTGAGTCCTGTAATGTAATATGACAACGTTTACTGATGTAATATAAGAATGTTAACAAATAAATAAAATGCAAATTAAAAAAACAAAAACAAATTTAACATTCCTGTAGGGTATTTCTGCAGCATTGAGTCCACAATAAAGTGCCCTTATACAGTGCCATCAGTGTACGATGAAAGCACATTTAAAGCACATGGCTTCGCGGAAATAATTTTGGGAACTGTAGTTTTTCCGTCACAGAGCTACAGTTCCAAGCACCCTTTACAAACAGCTCCCGGAATTCTTCAGGGACAGTTGCATGCTTTAAGAGTATGACATGTATGCAGACTAAAACAAAGCAGGCATTTACAATCTACATTTTGATAGTGGGAAGAAAGGAATAGGGTGGAAAAGTCAGGAACAGTAGCAGATAGCTATTTACCAGTAAGCCTTACTGTACATTTTGCCTGTTAAGATCTCTCCCCTTAATCTTAGTGTTTTGCTCTCTTAAGGATGAAGTGAACCAGATTGTAGCAACCAACGTGCGTCTAAAACAGGTAATTCTTTGTCACCTTTTTCATTAATCTACTGCACATTTAACAAGCTTGTCTGTTTGTTCACTATGCATCTGGACACCTCGTAAGACATCTTAAGCCAATCTTGCACAATGGGGACAGGTTTTCATCTATTTTGGGATGAAATTGGATGCCATTTTGTATCAAGATGGCAGACCTAACCTTTCATAACTGCACTGATTTTAACTATAGAGGTCACCACTTTCACACCATGCATTTAAGGCACTATGATGCCACAATAACCAGTCATGGCTTCCCCCAAATAATTCCAGGAGCTGCAATTCAGGAGTGCTGAGAGTGTTGTTAAGAGACACACACATTTCCCTCACAGAACTCCCTGCAGTTCCCAGAGTTCCCTGTGAAGAAGGATTTATTGTTACAGCACTCTGGGAATTCTAGCTCGGAGGGGTAGGCGTCTTTTAAAAACTCTCAGCACCCTTAACAAACAACAGCTCCCAAAATTCTTTGAGAGAAGACATGACTAGTTAAAGTGGTATCATAGCACCTTAAATGTATGGTGAATGTGGCCAGAGAATTGCTGATAATGGGTACATACAGATATTCGTTCTCAAAAAGGAAATGGCCATGTTAGTTTCAAGTAATTATTCCAGTTACCATGAAGACAGGGCAAAATAAGTTGCAGAATTTTTTCACCCCATAAAATAAGTGCTCTGTTTTAGGCTTACATTCCACACTAGAGGAAAGAGTTGTTGGGGTGTTTGTTTGTTTTTAAACTCTCTTAAATTCATTTTCTAGCAATGGAAAGATGTAAACCTGAAATGGAAGCCAGAAGATTATGGTGGTGTGAAACAAATTCGCGTCGCCTCAAGCGATCTCTGGCGTCCAGACTTGGTTTTGTACAACAAGTAAGTAAGGTTCTTTCATGTTAATTGTTCAGCAGTCACATAGCAAGGCTGCAAATGAGTCCAGGTGCTGTATGTGACTACGTAATTGCGGTGAGAGCATTTCCCCCCAGTAGCTCCAGCTAACTTTAGCCAAGTGGTCTAAACCACAGAGCCTAGGGCTTGCCAATCACTGCAACGGGCTGAGCTCCCATTGCTCGGTCCCTGCTCCTGCCAACCTAGCAGTTCAAAAGCATGTCAAAGTGCAGGTAGATAAATAGGTACCGCTCCGGCGGGAAGGTAAACGGCGTTTCTGTGCGCTGCTCCGGTTCGCCAGAAGCGGCTTAGTCATGCTGGCCACATGACCTGGAAGCTGTACGCCGGCTTCCTCGGCCAATAAAGCGAGATGAGTGCCGCAACCCCAGAGTCGGTCACGACTGGACATAATGGTCAGGGGTCCCTTTACCTTTAAGAACTGCTTTGTTTTGCATAATTCCTGATGCTACCCATGGCTGTCATGGGCACTTACGGGCTGGCAGATAAGGGTCTGCAAGAGGAACACTAAGGCAAAGCTAAGGAACTTGTGACTTTCCAGAGGTTTTCGGATTCAAGGCACCATCAGTCCCAGCCAGCATATTCAATGGTCAGGAAGTGCAGAAGCTGTCATCCAGGCACATTTGAGGGATGACTTAGGTTCCAACTGCATGTGAGGATGAAGAAATTTGGGTCACAGAGGTAGAAGAATATTCAGGTTTACTCATCAGTGGCCATGATCATCTCCCTGAGATGAGACCCATCACTGTACAAATTAAGCTTAGTATGGGCACATCAGATGGGCGCACCAAGGCCAAATGGTGGACAATTGGAGTTGAATAAATTTTTATCAAATGAATGGATTTATTGTTTTGACATGAGTGTCAATTTGACTTGCTTTGTTGTACTGAATATTCTGATAGTTATGTTTTGCTGGTGGGGGTTGAGATGCCCTTGTGTTGGCTGTTGCAGCTTTGGGCTTCATTTGGGAAGAAAAAGTGAAATATAAACCCTATGTGCTATGAAAAAAAATTGCCAAAGAACTGGAAAGGGCAGACAGGAAGTTCCTGTCTCCGACTTCTGTCCCCCCCCCCCCAACATGTCTTCAAGCAGATGCAAGACATTTGCTGTATTTCAGATCAAACAAGAAACACAATATGGAATAGTAGTTTTGCATTTGGTTGGTGTGACCAGGTTAGCCCACGTTCAACACTGGAAACTGCATATTATATCTGTACAGTGGTACCTCGGGTTAAGTACTTAATTCATTCCGGAGGTCCATACTTAACCTGAAACTGTTCTTAACCTGAAGCACCACTTTAGCTAATGGGGCCTCCTGCTGCTGCCGCCGCACAATTTCTGTTCTCAACCTGAAGCAAAGTTTTTAACCTGAAGCACTATTTCTGGGTGAGCGGAGTATGTAACCTGAAGCGTATGTAACCTGAAGCGTATGTAACCTGAGGTACCACTGTATAGAACTCCACTGTTAAATTAACCCTCAGCCTTCCCAAAGTTGTTGGTAGCTGCTGTGTCTCATTTGCTAGTGAAAATGAATAGGATTCACAGCACTGGTGTTCATCTCTTTCCTTTTACAGTGCAGATGGAGATTTTGCTATCGTCCAGGATACCAAAGTACTCTTAGACTATACAGGTCACATCACTTGGACTCCTCCAGCCATTTTCAAAAGCTACTGTGAAATTATAGTCACCCACTTTCCATTTGATGAGCAGAACTGTAGTATGAAGTTGGGAACATGGACATACGATGGCACAATGGTCGCCATCTTTCCGGTAGGTAACATCTGGGCATATGAGACAAGGACCAGGGTCCAAAGGCCCTTTGTGTTTTGGTATTGAGGAACAGGGCCCTTATGCTGGAAAAGAGTTCCTCTGTGTTCCTACTTTGGAGGACAGTCCTGTGCTTGAAGGGCTTTTGAAGCTTCCCTCGGTGTCAAAAGTCATTTGTCTTCATTAGCAAAGCCGCTTAAATAATGCAGACAGAGCCCAGAGAGAAAATAAATCCTGATAACACTGAACAAAAGCAGCACATAATCTGAGGAGAAAAGGACAGGGAGTTTTTGTCTGCCTTGTATATGGCACAGAGACACCGAACCAAGCGTACAGAGAGCACTCCCTCAGAACTCCACATGTGTTACCTCAGCAAACCGTCATGCCACTCTCCCTGGTTGCTAAGCAAACACCTCCACCCCATACCTCTCTTAGCTAGCTGACTTCAATACTAACAGAATTAACCTTTCGGTGCCCCAAACCTGTGGCTTACCTGGCGGCAAGTCTCCGGTCAAGGGACAATCCACATGTCCAAATTCCCTCAGAGATCCCAGAGCATCCAAGCTGAGGCCCATCAACGTGAGCAGTTGAGGAGACACAGCACTCAGCTCTGCTTCCCTGTTGGACTTTGCAGGCTGATTGCAGCACCTGGGCCTGATGAGGCAGGTGACCCTCACCTGCTCCAAGGGAGGAATCACACCCCTCCTCCCAGAGCTAGCGAGCCCCACCTGGCCAGCTAGGGGGCTGGGCTGTGGGCCCTTGCCTACCTCAGCCTCCTGGAGCACCACTGCTCCCTATGCCCCTCTGCTCTGGTGATGGGTCCTGCTGCTCTGGTTCCTTCACCCTCATCTTCCCTCAATCTATGAGCCCTTCCTACGCCAACCTCTTCTTCCCAACCCCAACTTGCCCCGGTGTGTCCCAGTCCCGGCTACACCCTTCACTGCAATCCTGTTTCTCCTTTTCCTCCTCCCCGTTGTCCTGCCAGTTTGTGGCATTAGGCTGCAAACTGACTGTTCCCTGCTGTTGCACTTCCAGCCATTTTGTTGTATTGAGGGATGGGGGCTGCAATTCAAGAATCCTAAGGCCTTGTTAGAGTCATAGAATGAGACACAAAGCTCTTTCGAAACCTCATTGGATATCTGTGCCAAGCTGCTTTTATTCATCTTTGCTACTTGTGAAAAGTTCTAACCTTTTAAATATTTATTTACTTTCTTCTTCTTTTCTTTTTTGCTGGGGAGGGGTAGCACCCCCCCTACACACACACCTTCATATATTTGCATGATATATTGTTTGGTGTGTGGAGTTTATTTAGGTAGGGAATTTTTTTGGGGGAGCAAATAGATATATAAGCTGCATAGTTCTTTATTTTTCAAGTGTTCTTTTAAACACTGTGCATAGGGGAAATTACATATTGTTATCAGTTTCTTATGCAGTTTGTGTCAGTGGGGCTACCATGTGGGTTGCTCTGAGGAAATACCTGGCCGGCCCACAGATGTGGCAAAAGAGTGTGAATAGCCTGGAGATGTGTTTCCATGGGAACTAACTGTCTCTCCATTTTTCTTAAGTTTGCTTAATGGGTAGGAAATAACTGAAAGATTTTGGGAAGGGCAGATGTTCCTCTTTCCCAGCTGCTATATACACCATGTGTTCAAAGCGCATGGCTTCCGCAGAGAAGCTTGGGGGTTGTAGTTTGTTAAGGGTGCTGGGAGCTATAGCGCCATGAGGAGTACACTACGGCCCCCAAGATTCTGTGGGGAAGCAATGTGCTTAGATTGTATGAAGTGCCATTTTAGACCAAGGCACAAAGAGCAGAGTTTAGGCTCTGGAAACCTTTTAAGGGACTGTCTTTCTGGAGATTGGATGTGGAAGCAGTGACGGGGGTGAGCTCCCGTTGCTCGGTCCCTGCTCCTGCCAACTCAGCAGTTCAAAAGCACGAAGTGCAAGTAGATAAATAGGTACCGCTCCAGCGGGAAGGTAAACGGCGTTTCCATGCGCTGCTCCGGTTCGCCAGAAGCGGCTTAGTCATGCTGGCCACATGACCCGGAAGCTGTACGCCGGCTCCCTCGGCCAATAAAGCAAGATGAGTGCCGCAACCTCAGAGTCGGCCACGACTGGACCTAATGGTCAGGGGTCCCTTTACCTTTACCTTTACGTAGCCCCTTCATGAGGAATTCTGTGGATGCTTGGACAGCCAGAGCCCCAGGGAGTTGGCACCTATGGCCAGTATATACACAAATAGGGACGCGGGTGGCGCTGTGGGTTAAACCACAGAGCCTAGGACTTGCCGATCAGAAGGTTGGCGGTTCGAATTCCCACGACGGGGTGAGCTCCTGTTGCTCGGTCCCTGCTCCTGCCAACCTAGCAGTTCGAAAGCACGTCAAAGTGCAAGTAGATAAATAGGTACCGCTCCGGCGGGAAGGTAAACGGCGTTTCCGTGCGCTGCTCTGGTTCGCCAGAAGCGGCTTAGTCATGCTGGCCACATCACCCAGAAGCTGTACATCGGCTCCCTCAGCCAGCAAAGTGAGATGAGCGCCACAACCCCAGAGTCGGTCACGACTGGACCTAATGGTCAGGGGTCCCTTTACCTTTACCTTTATGCTCAGCCTATACATTTGCAAATAAATAACCATATTGCAAAAATGCTATAACCCTCGCAAACGAAACCAAACCTTGGTAAACCCTGGGTCCCTGTAACTTCTCGCCCCCTCAGAAAAACAGGCTAAGCGTTTATTTTATCCTGACAACAAAAAAAGATATTGGTTTTACAGTATTTAAATGGATCCGAATGTTTCCTGAATGTAAAGGAGCATCGGGCCTTAGATATTATGTTAATAGCATTCATTCTCCTCTCAGGAAAGTGACCGCCCAGATCTGAGTAACTTCATGCCCAGCGGAGAATGGGTCATGAAAGATTACCGAGGCTGGAAGCACTGGGTTACCTACGCCTGCTGCCCTACCACACCTTACCTGGACATCACCTATCACTTTGTGTTGCAGCGGTTGCCTCTCTACTTCATCGTCAATGTCATCATCCCTTGCCTCCTCTTCTCTTTCCTAACCGGATTAGTGTTTTACCTGCCTACAGATTCAGGTATGTGGGATACAGTGGTACCTTGGGTTACAGACGCTTCAGGTTACAGATGCGTCAGGTTACAGACTCTGCTAACCCAGAAATAGTACCTCGGGTTAAGAACTTTGCTTCAGGATGAGAACAGAAATCGCGCGGCGGCAGTGGGAGGCCCCATTAGCTAAAGTGGTACCTCAGGTTAAGAATGGTTTCAGGTTAAGAATGGACCTCCAGAACGATGGAAGTTCTTAACCCGAGGTACCACTGTACTGTGACTCACAGCCAGGGGGAACACCCTGCCCTCTTCTGGCCTACCTTGATTATTCATCTGTTTTGATGGCGGCTTAGGAAATTACCGTACATGGTAACTTGTCCCTTAATTTGGCTTCCCCGTTGGAGAAGTAGTTTTATCTGTTAACAGCCATTGCGGAAGCTTCTCTCTGCCTCTTATCACATCTGATTCACATCCTATATTTATATAGGAGGGCACACACAGGAAGGGGACAGTTGGAGGTGGAAGGTCCCTGCAAAAAAGGCAGGGCAGGAAGGATCTCTCAGGGTGGGAGGGTGGGAGAAAAATGATTTAATAATAATAATAACAATAATATAATAATTATCATTTTTTTATTTATACCCTGACCACCTGACTGGGTTTCCCCAGCCACTCTGGGTGGCTCCCAACAAAATATTAAAAACACGATAAAACAGTGGTACCTCTGGATACGAACGCTTCTGGTTGTGCATGCGTCTCGTTATGAGCTGTGTCAACCCGGAGGTACCGGTAGTTGCTCCCGGATGCGAACTTTGCCCCAGGATGCGAGTGGAAACACAGCAGGAGGCGCACTTTCACTAATGGCACCTCATGTTAAGATCAGTTTCAGGATGAGAATGGACCTCCAGAACGAATTAAGTTCGTAACCAGAGGTACCACTGTAGTTGTTTATCTCCTTGACATCTGATGGGAGGGCGTTCCACAGGGCGGGCGCCACTACCGAGAAGGCCCTCTGCCTGGGTAAGTAAGCACCCAGATGAGAGCTGGGGGAATCTGCCTTGCTGTGTGTGGGTAAACGATATGATATTCACAACATAAATGTGATAAAGGGTCTTTTTTCGCTATTCTTTCGCTATTCTTTTCTCTCTTTCTTTTTCCTATCCAGTTGTGTTTTTGTATTTTCTTATGAATGAGTTTGAGTATAAACAGATAAGGACATACGCAGGATTATTGTAATAACCTGCAGGCTTTTTTAAGAGCGTATATTTAAAGTAGATGGATAAATGAGCAAATTAAGTTACATTTGGATATGCTGAAAATATTAAAAAAATAAATTTAAGGAACTGCAGAAAGAAGGGGGAAGGAGTCAAGTTTTGAAAAGTTAAAATGATTATAAAATTACTGAAATGTATAAATTGAAAATTATAAATAAAATAATACTAAAAAATGAGTTTGAGTGTTTAATATGTTTAAGAATTTTTTTTAAAAAATATTATTTTAAAAAATCACGTTCTTTGTTTACTCTTTGTCACAGGGGAGAAGATGACTCTGAGCATTTCTGTCCTGCTCTCTTTGACGGTGTTTCTTCTGGTCATTGTGGAGCTGATCCCTTCCACTTCTAGCGCAGTGCCCTTGATTGGCAAATACATGCTGTTCACCATGGTCTTCGTCATAGCTTCCATCATCATCACTGTCATTGTGATCAATACCCACCACCGGTCTCCAAGTACTCACACTATGCCGCAGTGGGTGAGGAAGGTGAGATGAGCTATAGTTGGGTTGCCATATTTCAAAAAGTGAAAATCTGAACATGGGCTGCCATATCTATGGGGTTTTTTTTTTTGACATTTCAGTGATTTTTGCCCGGACGCTGCTTAAGGGGACTGAATACTGGCTATGTCCTGAAAATTCCGGACGTATAGCAACCCTAAGGTATAGTCAGAAACATGTCCCCTGGAACAGTTGCAAAGCTCAGAACAGAACACAGGGTTAAGAGAAAAGGCTGGGCTGGGCTTGCTGCCTCGGACCTGGTGGCATTTATTATAGCAAAAATGGGGAGTACCTGAGACCCTCCAGTCTCCAACTCCCATCAGCCCCTAGCCAGCATGGCCCCAGGGGTCATGGATGATGGGAGTTGTATTCCAACAACATCTGAAGGGCCATCCCTGCTTTATAGGCTAAAGATTGACAAAGTGTTGGTAAAAGGTAAAGGGACCCCTGACCATTAGGTCCAGTCGTGACTGACTCTGGGGTTGCGGCGCTCATCACGCTTTATTGGCCAAGGGAGCCGGCGTACAGCTTCCGGTCACATGGCCAGCATGACTAAGCCGCTTCTGGCGAACCACAGCAGCGCACGGAAACGCCGTTTACCTTCCTGCTGGAGCGGTACCTATTTATCTACTTGCACTTTGACATGCTTTCGAACTGCTAGGTTGGCAGGAGCAGGGACCGAGGAATGGGAGCTCACCCCATCGCGGGGATTCGAACCGCTGACCTTCTGATCGGCAAGTCCTAGGCTCTGTGGTTTAACCCACAGCGCCACCCGTGTCCCCAACAAAGTGTTGGATCTGGGTTCAAATCCTAATTCACCCACGCTCCTGTCTTATGTCTCCAAGGTACCAGTTTAATTTCAGTTTTCAATATGAGGAGGATAGGTGCAAAATGGATCAGATAGATATTCTAAACTTGTCTTTATAATTGAAAAACAGCTGCTAAACTCAACTAAGGAGCAAAGGGTAGGCGAAAGAGAGAAGAGATCCTCTCTCACTCTTTCAATGGAAAGAGCCACCAAATGACCTCTTAAAGGTTGGTATGACAGGTGATCTATAAGCAGCTTACTGGGTGCCAATTAAATTATGTATGCTTTACAGAAAGAACAGAGAGAGACAATTCTCTTTCTCTCCCATAATACTAGTACTGGGTGCGTTCCATTAAAGTAGGGAGCAGACTGGGACAAAAAAAGCCACTAATTTAGAGCATGACAACATTGCCTATTTATGCATTATAACTTAAAGATTTTGGGGAAGGTTTTCCAAAAGGAGGAAAAGAAACAGGCAAGCTGACAGAAACACTGATATTTCTTTATGGACTGCAATACTTAACCAGTCGTTCCCCCACATTTCAGACTTTGTTTTCTTCTGGAATTCACTAGTGCAATTAGGTAAATTTAGCCTTGTTGTTGTTTAGTCGTTTACTCATGTCCGACTCTTCGTGACCCCAGGGACCAGAGCACGCCAGGCACTCCTGTCTTCCACTGCCTCCCGCAGTTTGGCCAAATTCATGTTAGTAGCTTTGAGAACACTGTCCAACCATCTCGTCCTCTGTCGTCCCCTTCTCCTTGTGCCCTCCAGCTTTCCCAACATCAGGGTCTTTTCCAGGGAGTCTTCTCTTTTCATGAGGTGGCCAAAGTATTGGAGCCTCAGCTTCAGGATCTGTTCTTCCAGTGAGCACTCAGGGCTGATTTCCTTCAGAATGGATAGGTTTGATCTTGCAGTTCATGGGACTCTCAAGAGTCTCTTCTAGCACCATAATTCAAAAGCATCAATTCTTCAGTGATCAGCCTTCTTTATGGTCCAGCTCTCACTTCCATACATCACTACAGGGGAAACCATAGCTTTAACTATATGGACCTTTGTCAGCAAGGTGATGTCTCTGCTTTTTAACTGTCTAGGTTTGTCATTGCTTTTCTCCCGATAAGCAGGCGTCTTTTAGAAGCTATGAGCTATGGTGTGCAGGGCCACCCAAGACAGACAGGTCATAGTGGAGAGTTTTGACTAAATGTGATCCACCTGGAGCATGAACCGGCAAGCTGCTACAGTCTCCCTGCCAAGAAAACTCCATGGACGGAAATTTAGCTTAGTCTGGACTTAATGGCCTTACAGGGTCTTTAGAGGGGGAATGTGTATTATTTGACATACTTAAAAATGTAGTAAGCCTGGCTAGGGGCCTCCTTGTTTTTATAGAGTTGGAAGGGACCCTGAGGACCATCTATTCCAACCCCCTGTGATACAGGAATATTCAGCTGTCCATTACAGGGTTCAAACCTGCAACCTTCTTGTTATCAGCACCATGTTCTAACCAACTACGCTATACCTCTGTTGTGCTGAATAGGTGACTTCTGCCCCATAGTCCTGCCCTGGTAGCATCACTGCTCACAAATGAATAAAGGGGAGGTGGTCACACTAGTGTGAGTCGAAGGCAATCTGGTTGTGCATAGTTTCTACTGACTCCCGCATCCAGCAACAGCCTGTGCTTTTTTTGGAGGCCTTAGCAGAGCTGGGGGAAGGAGTGAAGAAGGAAAGCCCTTTGGGGGCCAGTGGAGGCCCACCCAATACAGATAAGATAATAATAAAAACAACATCTGGATCCTAAACTGATCAAGTCAGCAGAGTTCCAGTTTCACATGCTGATTTGATAACGGTGCATTACTTGGGGTTAGTATCCATCTGTATGTGGTTTCACTTAAATGAGTCTTAAAGATCTGTTCACCTGAAAAACTCAGACAGCTTCCTGGGGCCTCAGGCATCACAAGCAGAAGAAAGCCCAAACCTCAGAAAGGAAACGTTTTTATTCTGAGGCCAAGATGGAGAACATATTTGCCCCTTGTTTTCATTCTGATTTTTTTTATTATTAAAAAAAAAAAAAAGACACTGACTGTAAAACAAATATTAACTTCTTTCAGATTTTTATTGAGACGATTCCGAACGTCATGTTCTTCTCAACCATGAAGCGGCCTTCCAGAAACAAGCAGGAGAAAAGGATTTTTACTGAAGACATTGATATTTCTGAAATCTCTGGGAAGCAAAGTCCGGCTGCTGTCAATTTCCAGTCATCGCTCACCAAAAACCCAGATGTGAAAAGTGCTATTGAGGGCATCAAATACATTGCTGAAACAATGAAGTCAGACCAGGAATCCAACAATGTAAGGACCTTTTCCTTCTGTTTTAGGAGATGGGAATCTTTGGCCTGCTAGACGTTATAAGACTTCAACTCCCATCAGCCCCTGCCAGCTTGGCCAATGATCAGGGATGTTGGGAGTCGTAGTCCAACAACATCTGGCCGTCCACAGCTTCCCCATTTCTGCTGTAATGTGTCTAACACACCTGTTAAAGAATGATAACTAAGAGTTATCAACAGCATGTGAGGTTTTTTTTCTAAAACCTAAGTGCTTTCTAAGTGCAGAGGGGAAGAAAGAGCATGTGGACAAGCAAGAGTGGTTTCAAGATTAAAGATGAAATCCTAAATCAGTGCACGCTTCCTGCAACTTTGGGTTTGTGAGGGTATCCTTTTAAAATAGTCCAGATTTACCATTTAATCTGTTTTAAATGAGTGAACCTGTGCTATTGAAATCTAGACTGTATTCAGGCAAGCAACGGTTTGAGGCTGAGGTGGAGAGAGCTGGCCGGGGTGGCTGGAAGGTGGAGTTCAACAACGTCTGGCAATTCCACAGTTTTCCTAGCCCTGGTTTAAGGGATACCATTATTAATCTCCTGGCTATTGTTGTGAGGCAAGCACTGATCTCTGGCAAGGTGAGGCCTGGTGCAAGTCAAGGCTCAGGCCTGCTATAGGGGAGTCTCTGAAGAAACCTTGTCCTTCTGCTTCAGAGTCCTTGGGCTCAGAATCGCCTCCATGATGACACACACCTGTTTCTGATACGGAACCAAAATGCTGTTCTTTGATGGCGGACACCTTTCTCGCATATCTGGCTCCCTAACAGGAGCTGTATTAATCTGTTGTTCGAAAAGGAAGAAGGAATTAATCCTGTGGCATGAAAGTGGATGCCACCACAAGCCAGTTTGTCTCAAACTAAGCTGCCACGAGTCTCTTTTGTTGTTTCCTCTCCTTTTCCACTCAGCCTCAATTTGGACAAACACTGCTTTATGGTATTTGGCTCCCTCTTGTGACCCAAGGCCTAACAAAATGACTCATCGAAATAATTCACGGTACATCAAGCTCCGGCCAGGGGGCAGCATATACTCTGTAATGTGCACTAAAATGGCACCAAATTACACACATATTTTTTGATAGTCAAACTCCGGTGTTTCAGGTCATTCTCGCAATGATGCAAGGACATGTTTTTGACTAGAATGCATTACATACTGAAGTTTGTTCCTGCAATGGAGAACATACAGAATAACATATTTTTTCCTCCAAGACAGAGAAGCATAAATGCTCAAAAGTGCCAACTCCCTAGTGGAAACAATGACTAGGCCCAAGATCATTCTAACTGCCTCTTGTCTTTTTTTATTTTCCCCATCCTCAGGCTGCCGAAGAATGGAAGTTTGTTGCCATGGTAGTGGATCACCTTCTGCTTGGCATCTTCATGTTAGTTTGCATCATTGGAACACTGGCTGTCTTTGCCGGTCGCCTCATCGAGTTACAGCAGCAAGGCTGAAAAGTGAAAACCAAGTGGGATAGCTTGATTTAGATCTGAATATGTGCTCACTTAAGAAAGTTCATGGAAGGAAAGTCTTCCATCTCCCTCTCCTCCATCCCCTCAGCAAAGCAAACCTTTCAAAGAAGCTTGAAGGTTGGGAGCTGCAGCCAGTAAGCTTTCCTTCCAGAAACTTCCTTAACTTTGCTTATCTTAAGATCCAAGCCTATATCTTTAATGTGTTGTTAATCTGTCTCTGCCTAAACGGGGCTAAATGGAGGGATAACCTCTTTCGAACTGGCAATTTCAGGCTCCAGAAAGTGTGATTCTGCTAAAAGTTTTTGATGGACTGGCGTCTTTAATGTCAACCGGCATGGCTTTTGTCACACCTAACCAACTTGCTAAAGCACTGGGTCAGAACCTCTTATTGTTCAAATCACCAGGTCAATGAGCCTAGGACATTGGTCTGTTCTGGGTATTTAAGAAAAACGGCTTTGGTGCTCTACACCAATGGTTCATCTCATTGCCTATTGGTCGTCCCTAATCACTGGCAATCTAGGATGCAAAAACTGAACACCATCCCGAGCCATGTCTTCAACCCATTGGCAGTCATGTCTTCATCAAGTCATCAACCCACAATTTTCTCACTTCCCATTCCTTACTGCTTTTTTGAATAAATAGATATGTTCCAAATGACTCCGTCAGAGAACCTTGGCTGAGCACATCTGTGATCTGAATCTCCCACACACTGCTGAAAGTGGCCCGTGCAGAAGAAAAGAAAATAATCACTGACTGACATCTACCAAGCTGTTTTCTACTCTCTTTCCTCAGCTGTGGTTCTTGCTTGCAGGCCTATCAAAACCATGTTTACTTAGAAATATTCAGAAGCCCCTTCTGAGCACTTAAAGGTAAAGGTAAAGGTACCCCTGCCCGTACAGGCCAGTTGTGTCCGACTCTAGGGTTGTGCGCCCATCTCACTTAAGAGGCCGGGGGCCAGCGCTGTCCGGAGACACTTCCGGGTCACGTGGCCAGCGTGACGAAGCTGCTCTGGCGAGCCGGCACCAGCGTAGCACACAGAAACGCCATTTACCTTCCCGCTATAAAGCGGTACCTATTTATCTACTTGCACTTAGGGGTGCTTTCGAACTGCTAGGTGGGCAGGAGCTGGGACCGTAAGACGGGAGCTCACCCCGCCGCAGGGATTCGAACCGCCGACCATACGATCGGCAAGTCCTAGGCACTGAGGTTTTACCCACAGCGCCACCCGCGTCCCAGCACTTACTTTTTATTAAATGTGCTTCTGTGATATACTTCATTTTCTTTTCTTTCTTTCTTTTTTAAGAACCACCACCCCAATCTCAGTTCTGCTTTGGGATTTATTTTTTCAGTTGCCAGCAATACTCACAATTCGCTTGATCCTCTTAGCATTATTCTCACAGTCAGGGATAAAGCTGGCGGGCAAAGGAGTATTTAGATGTCTCCTGTACACATGCTCGGATACGAGATAAGCAGGCCAATTGACTGCAATTCTAAATGTAGCAATTTCACATGCATGCCCTAAAGCCAAACGGGAAAAACTGTTATATCCTGTGCAATCCTACGTGGGTCTATTCAGAAGTAAGCACCATTGAATTCTATGGGACTTGCCCATCTGACTATTGGTTGTTCTCACTAGAATTTTGGAGAATGTGTGCTGAGAGCATGCAAGCACCCAGTTTAGGGCACTGTATAAAATAAGAATTTAAATGTTTCAGATTTTAATTTTTACCCAACCCAAAAAATCTTCACCCCCTCCCCCGCTTCAAACAAATGCCGGTTGCAGCCGAATTTGTGAGTCACAGGCTCCCTCCTGTGGTGGAAATACAGTATTTCTGCAGGTATACCCTTTAACACAGACTTTCTATAATGGACACGGTTACAATGGGAGCAGTAAAGTCAGTGGCATGATGGAAAGTTAGCCAACTCCTATTCCAGAACAAGGTTTTGAACTAATTGACAAAGAAAGAAAGCTGTTTAGCTATAGGTTGGAATTCACACGCTTCTACTGCCTTCATAGACAATGTATCACCATGGTGATCACAAAGAGCCAGTGTGGCCTAGTGGTTAGAGTTTGGGCCTAGAACCTGGAAGACCAGGGTTCAAATCTCAGCTGGGTGACCTCAGGCTAGAAACTATCTTTTAGCCTAGCTGATCTCACACACAACCCCAACCCCACCACAATATTCATTTTATAGTGCCGTAGCTATTGGGGGGTGGGGCTAGCCATGTTGTGTTTTTTTGCCCCAGGTGAAGCCTCCAGAGGAGCGCCATTGAGACTCCTGGCCTCTGTGTGTGTACACAAATGGGCATGAGTGTGTGTGTGTGTGTGTGTGTGTGTGCCAAACTGGGTCTTTGACCTGGGTGGAATATAGCCCAGTTTCGCCCCTGCATTCTAAACAAGACTAAAACCCTAGCAAGAGGACATTTGTGTTAAAGACCTATTTATTCAGCTAGGGAAACTTGTCAGAACCAAAATGACTTCTTCCTCTTCCTGGGGAAGGGAAATGTGGTTCATGCCTTCAGTCTATATATCATAGCTGTCAATTTTCCCTTTTTTAAAGGGAAATTCCCTTATTCCGAATAGGATTCCTTGCAAGAAAAGGGGAAAGTTGACAGCTCTGCTATATATTCCTCGCCCCCTCTATTTTATGGTTTAAGTTACCATGGAAGATAATAAGATACATATCCAGCCTGTGAACACAGTCCTGCCATGCTACAGGAGAGAATAAATAAATTCGTTCGCACTGCTGTTCGGCCTTTCCTATATCAACATCAAGGCCTTTAGAGGAAATAATTCCCCTTTGTCAAAACTTTATCGCCCATTTTGGAACACAGATGCTCCCTGTAGCTGTTGCCAAGAGCCACTGAGACATATCCTTAAAAAGTCGTGGCAGAGAAGCAGAGCCGCCTTTTTCAAATAGCATCTTCCCCCACCTATACAGTACTCACATTCCTACCAGAAAAAACTGGCATAAAAATGGTTTCTGTCTTGTGTGTGCTTTGCTCAAGGAAGCTCTCAGTACAAAAGAAATTTCCACCTTCATCAATGCCCAGAGCATAGCTGTCAACTGTCCCTTATTTGGCGGGAAAGTCCCTTATCCCAGCGCCGTGTCCCGCTGCTGTCCCTTATTGATGATGACCCTTAAATTTCCCGAGTTTCAAAGGAAGCAGCTCCTCTCCCTCCCTCCCTGCCGGCCAGGGAGGAGGGAGGCCCCAACTGTGTTGCTTGGCTGCATTGCTCACCCAATAAGGAGTCTAAGAACGACTGGGGGGTGGAGCTTGTATTCCTTGTGCTGATCAAATCGGCCACGTTGCCTGGGGACTCGCCTTTGCTCAGCGCTTCCCAGAGGAGAGGTGACGGTGGTTTTCCTTGCTGCATCCCCTTTGCCGGGTTGCTGCGCTGTGGGAACCACCGCTTGAGGCTTCGTTTGGCTGCAGGCTTGGCTGCTGATCCCTCATTTTTGAGGCTGCTGGTCCCTTATTTTCAAATCTGTAAGTTGACAGCTATGGCCCAGAGGTGTCTCGTGCTTCAGGAAGGATTGCATGCTGTGGTGAGCAGGGACAGAGGCTCTCCAGTCCTAGGAAGGGTCCAAACTGTAAGCAAGGTAGGAACTGCCTGAGAAATTTCTTTGCACAAGTGGGACCTTTGACAAGGCACTGCAATGTACAGTGTTCCTGTTCAGGGAGCCAGCTAGCCATGCCTTCTTTCACAGCACTCAGTTACATCCCCCCCTCATCCTATTCCACTCACCCCTGCTCACTCCAACAAGCACCATTCCCTGGCCACTGAAAAGTCCTCATTGGGGGGTTTGCTGGATCCTCTCTCTCTTAGGGCACTGGTGGCTGATGCCCATTAGGAGTAGGGTGGAAAGCAGGGAGGCTAACAGCAGGTGGCGCCAGAGCTGAAAGCCAGAACCAACTAATTCCAGTTGACCCCATCCCCTTCCTCCCTGCTGAGTTCTACATGTCACAGATTCAGGAGGAATCTGACAGATCGCACAATTTCTGGTGTAAGTGAGAAGACAGGTAGATGGGTAACAACTGACAGGTTGGTGGGAGAGAACCCCATTCACCCTTATTCATCAACCCTCTAATAATAATAATAATAATAATAATAATAATAATAATAATATTTTTTTATTTATACCCTGCCCATCTGGCTGGGTTTCCCCAGCCACTCTGGGCGGCTTCCAACAGAACACTAAAATACAATAACCTATTAAACATTAAAAGCTTCCCTAAACAGGGCTGCCTTCAGATGTCTTCTAAAAGTTTGGTAGTTATTTTTCTCTGTGACATCTGATGGGAGGGCGTTCCACAGGGTGGGTGCCACTACTGAGAAGGCCCTCTGCCTGGTTCCCTGTAACTTGGCTTCTCGTAGCGAGGGAACCGCCAGAAGGCCCTCAGTGCTGGACCTCACTGCCTTAGGGGTTCTTTCCCCCCTTTAAAAAAATCTACTTCTGTAAACCTTGGGATTTCCCCTGAGTCTGATGATGCTTCCCTCTTGTGTTGGATGGTTCATTTTTGCTAAATAAGGATCCACGCTCAGATAATGAGTTCATTATTATCATGTGGGACACTAGTCTGCGGCTGGCTGCCATCCACAGATCCTGACAACATGGAGAGAGTCTCAACTGATGGTCTATGGTTTCTGGGTTGCAATCTTGATCTTTGACAATCAAGGGAGTCAAATAATTTGCATCGGCTGGGGACTGTGGATTGCTTTCTTCCAGTGCATGTGTGCAGTTCAGTCCCATGTTATGTTTACTAAGAAGTGAGATTTGCTGAGTTCAGTGGGACTTCTAAGAGAATTTAGGATTTCAGACTTGCTGAGAAAGAAGATCTCAAATCATTTGCATCCTATTCTTAGGCTGTGTGCACACTGCCATTTATTCTACATCCAGTGCACTCACACCACTGTTTTATTTAAAGAAAATCTATATTTATTTATACTTATCCGAAGATAAGTACCTTTTTATAATATGTACACTGAAATAAAGAAATGCTACTGAAATCTAACCTAAAATGGAATGGAGGAGAGAATGGAAAAGAAGAAAAGAAAAGAAAAGAAAAGAAAAGAAAAGATAAAAGAAAAGAAAAGACAATGAAAAAAGTTTTTAAAGACTTCAGGTTCTCTGTCCTGCAGCTAAATGTAGTATTCACTCGTTAACAACCAGCTGTTCTATTTTCTATAAGCCAATATTTTTTCCATCTTCAAATCCAGATATTGCCAGTTCATTTTAGCTAGGCATCATGGGAGTTGTAGGCCAAAACATCTGGAGGGCTGGAGGTTGCTTATGCCTGATCTAACAAGACTATTGATCCATAAAATGAAAACAATAAACAAGGTACTGCAGTCACACAATCAATCAATGAATCAGTAGCTGAACTGGGTTCCACACTGTCGCAAAAACAAAACAAAAAAGAGCCGCAAAAACAAAAACGCAAAATAAATAGCAAAAAAACTCAGCGTAACACTCAAAATAGAAGTGTGGCACTCAAATCGCCAGCGTAACACTCAAAACAGAAGTGTGGCACTCAAAATGGAGCACGTTCGGCTTCCGAAAAAAGTTTGCAAACCTGAACACTTATTTCCAGGTTTGTAGTGTTTGGGTTCCAAGGTGTTTGAGTACCAAGGTGTTTGAGAACCAAGGTACCACTGTAAGTCCCCCTAATTTCAGTGGGACTTATGCCCACAGTGCAGAAATGTTAATTGGACATTTCCATTTCAACCGAATGCCACAGAAACAGAAATTCTATTTTAATTTCTGCCTGGAAGTGAACCACAGTAAAACAAATTCTGTCTCGGCTTCCTGGCATTCGCTGCTGAGAAATCGAACACTTGCAAACGTCAATTCCGCCTTAGCATCTCTGGCTTCATCAAGTCACAAACTGCTGGATCCACAGTTTTAAAACATTTCCTGTTGTGCTCACTCTGTCGTTAGGGCTGGATTTTCAAACGGCTCCACTGTTCTGTTCACTTTAAGTGTATATTTGTCCTCTTTGCTGTGGTTTCCTCTCTCCCAGAGGCATTATGAGTCTCATGCTGACTAAGCAGTTCCTGTTTCCACATTTGCAAGAAGGAGTTGCAGGAAGAAGCAAAGGCAAAAAGACAGGGCTTAGGATAACAGTGTTGGATATTTCTTTTCACGACATCCATCAGCCCAGCTCTCTGCAGTGCTAGAAATTCATCCTGGGCCCGGGCCTCATTACGAAGAGCAACATCAACACCACATCACTCATGGTGGAAGATCACAGCAAAGCAATAT